GGTTTCAGTGCTCCCTTCTTCACAAACAAGCCGCTCCCAGCCCATCCGTGGTAGTCAGGGTGGTTGCCACAGCAGTTGACATCAGCCATCTGGTCCCCGAGGAGCCTGTCACCCTCCCGCCTGCCTGCAGTGCCTCCATTACCGCTTGTTCAAGGAGTGGAGAGGAGGCATTTGGGGACTCCCGCCCTCATACACCCCCCATTTTGAGGACTGGGTGGAGCTGGGAGGGCCCAGTGGCCAAGAGGGGAGAGGAAGAGGGGAGGGAGGAAGGGTAGGCGGGGCCCCTCCTTGGTGGCCTCTTGCCTGGGCGGGGAGGCCCCAGCCCACTCGGCTCCTGGACCGCGGCAGAGGCAGCAGCAGCACCTGGACCATGGCAGAGGACGGGCCGAAGCAGCCACAGATCAGCATGCCGCTGGTCCTGGATGAGGCCCTGACCAAGCAGATGCGGCTGCGCGTGGAGAGCCTGAAGCAGCGCGGGGAGAAGCGCCAGGACGGGGAGAAGCTGCTGCGGCCGGCGGAGTTCGTGTACCGCCTCGACTTCATCCAGCAGCAGAAGCTGCAGTTTGAGCGCTGGGACGTCCTGCTGGACAAGCCGGGCAAGGTCACCATCACGGGCACCTCCCAGAACTGGACGCCCGACCTCACCAACCTCATGACGCGCCAGCTGCTGGAGCCCGCGGCCATCTTCTGGCGCATGGAAGGCTCGGATGCGGTGGATTGGAACGAGGCCGACGCCCTGGAGTTCGGGGAGCGCCTGTCGGAACTGGCCAAGATCCGCAAGGTCATGTACTTCCTCATCACCTTCGGCGAGGGCATGGAGCCCGCCAACCTCAAGGCCTCCGTGGTCTTTAACCAGCTCTGAGGCAGCTGCCCACTGCTGCCCCCTGCTCTCGCCCATCTGCCCTGCCCCCTGCCCCCGCCCCCAGGTGTGTATTTGGGGACCTGTTTCTAGTTGCTGTCCTGTGCTCAGCGTGGCCGGGACCCCCAGGCCTGTGTCCTCCCTCCTCTCCTCTCCTGGTGCGGGTGCTCCTGCTCAGGGAGGAAGATGCCAAGGCTCTGTAGTCTAGAAGCTGCTTGTGCTGTAGACCCGGAGGCCAGGCCGGGCTAGTGCGGGAGGATGGAGCGTCCGTGGGCACTGCCTTCTCTGTGCCTCACTGTCGGGAGAGAGACTGAGGGAGACAGACACAGACACAGACAGGGATCCGAAGAACCAGCCATCAGCTTCCTCTGCAGACGGGGAGACAGAGATGGAGACAGCAGAGCGGCTCCTCGGGAATCCAGCAAACAGGCATTTGCTGCCCGTCCGGCCACATCCAGGAAGGGGCTGCCCCTGGTCTGGGCCTGGTGTGAGCGCCTCGGGGGCAGTGAGGACTGGCTGGCACGCTGGAGGCTCTTCGGGCCAACCTTCTTGCTCTTCTGAGAATGACTGCAGGAGGGAGCGTGAAGGGGAGCATAAAAGTCATGGAGAGATGACCTGTCTATACATATGCATATACACTGAGAGAGAGCACGCTGCCTTCACATGGATATATTCTAGAGTCTATGCCTGCCCTGTGGTCAGACCGGACCTGAGATGATCTATGATAGGATTGCCCAGCTGGCTCACGCCCGGCCCGTAGCAGGGGCTTGGTCAGCATGACCTTAGGGAGCGGGGCTTCCTGAGCTGGGAGGCTCTGAGGTTCATACTGTGAAGGGGGAAAGTGTAGTATAGGGGTTTCCCTCTGCCCCGGGGGAGCTGGGTGGAGGGGTCCAGAGCCCGGGAGCTGGGACGGTAGATTCTAGGGCCTTGGATGTCCCCGTTGGGACGTCAGCTTCCCAGCTCACTGGCCAGAGGAGGTGAGTGTGCCACCTGTGTGCCATCTCTGGCATCTGTGTGGAGCTGAGGGGTGGGGGCGGCCTGCCAGGGCAGTGTGATGGCCGATGGTAGAAGCGGGCTGCAGGGGGCCGCATGCTGTGATGGGAGGACACCGGCCTCAGGGGTCACTGGGCCCAATCCACCCGCCGAACAGGGAACACGAGACACCGTTATCAGCAGACTCAGTTCTGCTCCCCAAGCCTCACGCCCCTGCACAGGCCCAGCGAGCCCCCTTTGAAGGAGGGGCCTGGCCCGCCTGGCATCAGCTGAGGGCACCTCAGGAAGTGCCCCAACACCCTGCCGCAGGCCAGCCCTGGCTTTTGTCAGGGATGTGCCCTGTCAGGGACGTGCTGTGACATTTCCCTCACAATGCAGAGCCCTCAGGGGGTCGCAGGTCCTGGGAACAGATGCACTGAGAGGTGGAGGTCAGAGCCCTCCCCACTGGCCAGGGCTGCTGGCAGACGGGCCCCCACTTTGGAGGTGTGGGTGGAAGTCTGAATTCTTCAGGTGGGAGACTGGCTGTGGTGTGGGCTACGGTCCTTTGTAACGCGGCTCTGGCCTGTCCGGGATGTGCTTACAGTCCTGGCATTGCCTGCTTTGCTTCCCCACTGACTATTGGGGGGGGGCCAGGCCCCTGGGGCTGGCCCTGCCCCCTGCGTCTTTGCTTGCCCTCTCCCTGCAGCTCTGGGGACCCTCTTTGGCAGCCTGACTGCCTGTACCCCCACCCTGCCCTGTGCGTGACCCCAATAAAGCCAGTGAGCCCCTGCCTCTGTGGTGTGCAGTCTCTCGCCGTGAGCCACCCTCCCCTCAGGAGCTCTGCCTTAGCCCCGTCCCCTCACAGCCCAGAGCACCCCTCCCCTGGCTCCTCCCACACTCCCGACACCCCTCCTGCTGCTTCCTGGGATGAGGCCCAGCGTGGTCAGGTGACTGGCCCATGGTCAGGCAGCAGGAAGGAGTTTAGAACCAGGTCTCCTGACACCCACCCGGGAACCAGTGCCCCTGACGGCATTTTCTCCAGTGGCCCCAGACCAGCCTCTGTGTGGGGCCTGCAGAGCCGGCTGAGGCCATGAGGAGGCACCTTCTGGTTCAGGAGGTGGGGCCCTGAGGGGATGGGTGGGATGAACCTGGCAGGCGGCTGGGTGGATGCAGATGGGACAGGGGCATAGCTAGGGGGTGGGGTTAGGCCTGGGCCCAGGTTTCACCCGACCTCCTCACCAATTTGCTGCCTGTGCTCAGCCATCTCCCAGCCTCGGCCTCTCTGGAGGGGGCAAGCTGCTCCTGTGAAGTTCTTTCCGCCCTGCCCGCTGACCAGAGAAGACGGATATTTCACATCCCAGTGTCCCATCTGAGCCTTCCTCAGAGCTCTGGCCCTTGCCAGCTCTAGCTCACTCCCTGTTGGGGCAGAGACAGAGGCCTAAAGGAGGCAGCAGCCGGCCCCACATCACAGCGGGCGGGGACTGGGCTCTGGGTCTGTGGCCTCTGACTCCATGACATGCCCTCTGGGATGAGCAGAGGCGATGCCTCCACCTACCCGAGGGCTTGGTCTCGGGCGAGGCTAGTTCCTTCCCAGGGGCCACGGTCAGACCCTGCTTCAGAGCCCACACCGGGGGTTTTGCTTTCGAACAACCCCTGCTTCGAAAGGCTCCCCCCAGCCAGGTCCCACATGCCTGTTGTCCACCCAGAGCCCTCCGCAGAGCTCGGGCACACACCTGCGAGAGTCCAGGTCAGCCCCGCCCAGCAGGATTTGAGCCCAGCCATTTGGGTCGAGGTGGGAGTCCACAGGGAAAATCCTGGGAGCATCCAAGGGCCGGGGACACCAGGGGGGCGCTGTGGTGCACCCATTATGGGGCCCAGAGGTCTCTGAGTGACTCTGCAGTGAGTGCTGGTTCATGGGGTCCCCTGGGTGTGAGGGGGGAGGGCTCCAAATCCCACACAACTTCTACCTCGCCGCCTGGTCAGGCCAAGTGAGTGCCCCGACCCCTCAGGCCTCCCTTTCCCCATCTGCACAGGGGGCTGTTTGCCTTTCTCCTTTGTGGGGGTGGTTGACTGGTCACCTCGGCTCCCTCCCACCCCCGAGGTTTGTGAATTGTGTGCGTGCACCACGCACTCCGTACACCAACAGGAATGACCCTTCACGCGTGCACAGCCCTCCACAGTTCATACAGCACCTCCCAGGCCATGATCCGCCTTAGTGCCCACAACAGTCCTGGAGGGAGGGCAGGTAGGTGCGGGCACCAGAAAGGTGGTCCAGTCCAGACTCAGGTCCCTGCCGGGCAGCGCAGCTGGTGCTTGTCCCCGTGTGTCCCGGTCACCGTCAGCCGGGGCCTCGCAGAAGCCTGAGGATTGCCCTCTCAGGAAGACACAGCCGGCTGTGGAGCTGGGCCAGGCCCTGCCCGGGTGCTGGGATCCTGGCAGGAGTGAGACACGCCCTGCCCTCCAGGAGCTCCCCTCAGGGGGCAGGGAAGGAGGAGGAGCTGCCCGGTGGTGCCCAAGGGGGTGTGAGGTCAGGAGGCCCTGCAAGGTGCGGCTCAGCTATCCCCGAGGGACAGGGAGCAGGGCGGGTGCCTGCAGGAGCCACACATGCATAGCTGAGGTGGCTAATGCCTCACAGGGTGTGGGTTCTGTGGGGCCCCAGGGAGGCAGTGTGCAGGGGTGAGGTTGAGAGTCAGCACAGCCGCCCCTCACAGGCTTTGAATGCCTGGCCAGGGAGCCGGTGTCCCTGGTGATGGGTATTTCAACCGTAGACAGCCAAGAAGAGAGAGGCAGCCTAATGAGCTGCCTGTACCCATCCCTCTGCTTCAACAATTGTCAACTCACGGCCCATCTCTATTCCTCTCCCCCCCTCCCCCCAGGAACATCTGTATTACAACTGAATGACCAGAACATCCGGTCGACCAGTTGCTATGATGTGCACTGACCATCAGGGGGCAGATGCTCAACGCAGGAGCTGCCCCCTGGTGGTCAGTGCGCTCCCACAGCCAACCTCCCACAGCCAGCCAACCTCCCTCGGTCCTTACCCCTGATTGGCCCCGATTGGCCCAAATCGGCCCCAGTCGCCAGCCAGGCCAAGGGAAGACAGCCAAGAAGAGAGAGGCAGCCTAATGAGCTGCCCGTACCCATCCCTTCATTTCAACAATTGTCAACTCACGGCCCATCTCTTTTCCTCTGCCCCCCTCCCCCCAGGAAACATCTGTATGTATAAATGCCTAAGCAACCGTTATGACCAGACGACTGGCCAGTAGCTATGACATGCACTGACCACCAGGGGGCAGACGCTCAACACAGGAGCTGCCCCCTGGTGGTCAGTGTGCTCCCACAGCCAGCCAACCTCCCTCGGTCCCTATCTCTGGCTGCCCCAATCTGCAGATAGGCCCCAATCGCCAGCCAGGCCAAGGGACCCACCCATGCACGAATTCGTGCACCGGGCCTCTAGTATCATTATACTTCTGGATGCGTTTCTGGATGATAACGACTTGTTTCAAATAAAACAGGGAACCCTCACAGTAATAATATAACACAACTAAATTTTACACTAACTTTTTAATATCATCAAATACCCAGGAAATCTTCTGATGTACAATCTGTGCCATAAACGTGTGTGTTACAGTTCCTTTGTTCGAATGAGATCCAGGTCCGTCACTGCACTGGCTGCTCCCCCTTCACCTTTCAGTGTTTTCCTTGCAGTCTCTTTGCTGAAGAGCCGCCGTCCTGTGCAGTTTCCCGCGGCAGCAGGGCCCCCTTGGCGGCAGTTTTGCTTTCTGCCGTTTCAGTTACCCATGGTCAACCGTGGTCCGAAAATATTAAAAGGAAAATTCCAGAAATAAACAGTTCACCAGTTTTAAATTGAACGTTGTTCTGAGTAGCGTGGTGAGCTCTTGTGCTGTCCCCTCCCTCCCGCCTGGACGTGAGTCATCCCTTTGTCCCGTGTATCCTCGCGGGGTAAGCGGCCTGTCTGTTAGTCGCTTAGCGGCCATCTCGGTTTTCAGGTCAACTGTCCCAGCATCAAAGTGCTTGTCTCTTAACGGTGCCTAATGTATAAGCTGAGCTTTATCGTAGGTGTGCATGTATAGGAAAAAAATGATACAGGAACAATAGAGTTTACAGCTACTAAGTATAAACTTTTCCTAAATTGATATCTCACTCTGCCTGATTTATAACTTTAGCTTTATCGTAGGTCTGTGTGCACAGGAAAAAACAGAATACATAGGGTTTGGTACCAGCTGCGGCGTCAGACATCCACTGGGGTCTTGGAATGCTCCCTGCGAGGAGGCTAAGGCGGGGAGGGGCTCCTCTATCTGGATTTGCTGGCTTTGTTTTCATGGCTTGATCAGGTTCAGACTCAAATTCTCTTTGGCACAATCGCTTCACAGGCGATGGTCGCTCAGGAGGCGCGTCCTGTCTGGTCGTCTCTCTGTTCTGTGATGCTAGAAGCCATGATTTCATGAATCCAGTGGTTGCAAAATAGTGGGCGTCTAAAACTCTCATGTCTTTCTCATTTCTTAGCTGGAATTCATCCCCAGATATAAAGCTCCCTTCGTGTGCTATTGGTCCCCCCGTGGGACAGTTTGTGCGCAAAAGGCGGCACAAACCTCCCATTCTTTCCCTTAATGTTCCAGGCTCAAAAACATGAGTTGATTCCCTGCCATCCTCTGGTAGTGACTAATTGTTTGTGTTTCATCATGAGCTCATGGATGTGAATGTATTTGACATGTTTTCATCCATCGAAGTTGTTATCCTTATTGCTGCTCGGATTGGCCGGCCGTTGGAGCCTCTTCAAGTTGGTCCCGAATCCTTTGATGTGGCTCCAGGGGCTTTGGTTTCTCCCTTGATTTCGGGCTTGATCTGATGTTGTTAGGAAGGGAGTGGAGTTTGTGTGTCTGTGAAGTGCTCCTTCTCCGACAGTCTTATCCCCCTGGCTTGGCACCCCAGCAGATAGCGGG